AAAAACCACTTTCTTCCACAATATGCAACCTTGAAACTACTGACAATGACAATAAAGGCTTGTTTACTTCTGCTGTTTTCATAGCATTAAAAGACAGTAATGGCTAACCTCCAGTAATGCTTGAGCCCAAAGAATTGTCAAGTGTTTTCTTATAAGTGCTTGACTCTCAGCTCAGGGTTGTTTTTCCTTGTCTCTGAGTGTCCTTGGTCACTCTTTACTCATCAGAGAGGTTTACCCTTTTATGGCACTGTTATTTTATGTACTTTGCCACCTCCAGAATTACTCTGGCCCTCTCTACAAAAAGAAGCAAGCAGCTCCATGAATGTTTATCCTCTTTCCAAAGGCCCTTTTCATTCCATAGGCATGTTTGTTTAAAGAATATAAAAATGGTTGAAATTCTTTCACCTGTAAATAGGAATGAATCTCCCTGCCCCCCCAACAAATACTGCACGAGAAACACTTTTTCAGGTTGTTTGGATACAAAGAAATGCAATGTCAAGAAGCCTTCCAAGATCAACGCCCTGAATAAGAGAGGCCCTCATAGCAGAGGCTGTACAGAGCACTGCAAAGAAAACCATTTTATCAGTGGGTGCAGGATCAGAGACAGAGTGGGAAGGAATTGGAGGCCCCAGGTGGTGTCAATGTGAGAGCTGAGCCCAAACTTAAGACTGGAGAAATCTGGGCCATTGGGTGGGAACCTATAGCATCACCTTGGCTTGCTGACAGAGAGCTCTCTTGCAATATTGAGCTATGGCCAAAAGCATGGCTGGTTCAGTAGCTGTGTGTGTGTCAGAAAGAATGTAAGGCTTTACAGCAGGCAAACTTATCATTTAAATTAAAACAAAACAAAAAGAAAAAAGGAAAAGAAAATGTTTATCTAGGATGGGTGAAGTAAAGTTCCAAAGTTATATCCCCTGGTTTTTTGGTTTTTTTTTTTTTTTTCCTCATCCAAAACAGTCAAAGTAGTTGGGCTAAGTCTGTCTGGAACATGCTCAGGCAGGGTCTGATATCCACAGTGGAAAACAGCAGCTTAAACAATGTGTGAGGGTTGAAAGCAATGGAGGACATTTAGAGAAGAACGTCATAAAACCTTAACGATAGCTGCTACTTCCTGCACAGCCTATAATTAGATACTAGGCTAGTAACTTATAAATGCTTAAGATACAAGGTAAAATGCTTTTTGCCAATTTTTCCATCTCTTTGTTCTCATCTGTGTTCTTTGCTTGCCAGCTTTCTGGTAAAGCAATATATCTGTGGCTGATATTTGCCATCAGTGTGACAAATGTTTTTTACAAAACAAAATGCTATTATTTTTTTCTCCAAGCAAGCGCTGAGAACAGTAAGGTTTAATTTCCTGCCTCTCCACTTTCCTGATGTCTCTTGTTAACCTCAATTTATTTTTTTCACCTCAGACTGTAAGAGAGCTTTACAAACCATTGTCATTTCAACACTTACTTTTCATGCTGAGGCCATGTTTGTGAAAATATCAAGTTAAATATTCAACTTTTTTTTTTTTTTTTTAAATAGAGGAGACTTTTCAGATGCTCAAAAACCTCATGAAAAACTTGACTTCAGGCAGGCATTTTTGGATACTACAGTCTAGCAAAGCAGTCCTCAGACTCTTCCATCTTAGTGATGATAATGGCTTTCTTAAGAAGTCAAGAAACACTGTTAGTATTTAAGGGCTAAGATTCTTGATCCCACTGTTAAAGCACTCCATAGGGAGCATCCTTGAACAACGAAATGGATCTAGTGGATGCCCCATCCCTGGAGGCATTCAAGGCAAGGCTGTATGTGGCTTTAGGCAGCCTGGTCTGGTGATTGGTGACCCAGCATGTAGCAGGGGGGTTCTTTTCAACCCAGGCCATTCTATGAACCAGAAGTTGCATATTAAAATAGGTGGCTCCTGCACACACACAGCTTTGCTCTTGGCACTGCATTCACAGATGAGGACAAAGAGAAAGCCTGGCTGAAACATACTTGTATCTGCCTATCCTTAGCTGTGATGCTGGCCCAAAAGTGTGTTGGGTAGTTGATACAAGAAGTGATGTATTACCGGGTTAATGAGTGTTAAACTGGCATTCAAGGCCAGGTTGGAGGGGCCTCTGAGCAGTCTGATCTAGTGGGTAGCAATCCACCCCATGGCAGGTGTTTGTAACTAGAGATCTTTAGAGTCCTTCCAATGTAAGCCATTTTATGACTCTATGGCATTGAGACCATAGAGCTGTGTTAACCAGGCGTGCTTGGGCATATATCAGTTCTTGTTCTGTGTCCATGTCAGCTTTGTCAAGTTCACTCCTGAAGTGACTTAATTCAGACTGAGGCACAGGGTCACATCTCTATGCCCAAGTAAAAACATTTCAAGTGCTAGCATGGATTTTGTTACCACGACCAGGACATCTGAATTATAGTGCACCCATATGCTTCTTGCTATGCCTGGCAAAGGGGCACTGAGCCACACTCCTTTACTTGCTTTGATAAAATACTGGATCTACTCTATCAAACACAGCAAGAATTGATTTAATCATCTGATAAAAGATGATTTCATTAGCTCAAAATACATTTAATAGAAAAAGAGGCAAAATCTTGAGCTATCTTTTCATCTCACTGTTAGCCTCCCCAGCAAAACCTACATATTTTTTCTTTAGCAACTTAATTTGCTAGAGATACTAAAACAAAACCTTCTGTTAACTACTAGAAGTTTCTTACCAGCCGTATACCTCTAATGAGTTACTGCATGTGACCATATCCATAACTGTAATTGATCTAAATATCAACCAAAACTAAAACTAGTGTGGAAGTTTAATGCAGATGGTCATGAAGTGTAGGAACCAAGAAGGGTTGGAAGGCACAGTCATTTAAAAAAACAAAACAAAAAAAAACCCAAAAAACAAAAAACTTATTTTAGTGCCTATTACAATCTTTGTTTGAGTGTGAAATGTCAGGAAGGCCCAAAACATTGCCCTGTTATTTTCTGCTGTCTCATTTTAATGAGCTTTTTACAAGCGTTAATAAAAGTTTCTTAATTCTACTCACATAAAGCTCTTAATGTATTTAAAGTTCTGCTTTCTCTAATCATTTCTTTATTGTGTCAGTTTTTCTTTGTCAGGATTAGGTTGGGTGAAGGATATGAAACACTGTTAAATATCAGCTGCTAGTGCCAACAGCTCCTTCTTGGGAATATTTCCAACTCAGCATCAACATCTGCATGCATTAATGCTGAAGATGGGTTACAGGCACATAAATCTCTGCATTGTCCTCTTCAGTCATTAGTGACAACTGTTCTTGTGCAATACCTACAGCAGGGATAACCTTGGCTCTCTACTCCCTTCCCCCCACCCCTGCAGTGGATCTTGTTCTGTATCTCACTATTTTATCAAATTCACAGCCTCAGTTACTATCCTTCTGTCTTGCTTTAGGAAACCTAGGCACACTTGCAATGCACACAGCTCTCACTGTTTTAGTATGCTGCCCCAGGAAATCTTCACCAGGGCAGAAGGCAAGGCTCATAATTATGAAAAGAGACCATGACTAGCTTTAACTGTTAGGAATATTGCTTCACTGGACACTCTGGTGATGTGAAGAACTTTTACCACTTTAAGAGCTGTACTGTAAACTCCATGCAGTTCAAGAGGGTTTTCTGTTCCTGCCACATGACATTGACACTACTGTCATTGCTGTGCTGCCTTTCCTACACTGCCAGTCACAAGATCTTCTCCAGGCAACTTTGCCTTCTTTTCTCCACCTCCTGTTTTCTGCAGATAGTGAACTCACCTGTATTGCTGCAGCTTAGCTATGCTGAACAGCCCATACTAGAGGTCATTATCCTTCATTTGAAAGGTGGAGTGGGACAGCCACGTGTTGAAGTGCTATGGACTCCCCTCTGTTGCTGACAGTGGAGAAAATCACTAAGGTCTCCTTAGTTGGAACTGATATCCCTGTAGACTCTGGAGACAGCATGCACCACCAGGCTGTCTTGCCTCTTCTTCCTACTCCTTGGGGATTCAGGAACCAGCAGGGCTGATCCTTAGATGGGCTATGGGCAGTGACAAGAGCAAGGGGAAGAGACCTCATTGACACCATAGGTTGGAAAAAATCATTAAGGTTGGAAAAAACCTCTAAGGTCATCTAGTCCAACCATCCACCTATTACCAATATAGCCCACAAAACCATGTCCCTCAGTGCCACATCCACACGGTTCTGGAATACCTCCAAGGATGGTGACTCCACCACCTCCCTGAGCAACCTGTGCCACTGCAGCACCACTCTTTCAGAGTAGAAGTTTTTCCTAATATTCAATCTAAATCTCCCCTGAAGCAGACATTCAGAGGGAAGGAGTTCTCAATGCAACAGACATTAATTCATTTCTTCTGAAATGCATCGGTCAATGTAACAACTAACTTTGGGTAGTGTAGGCTTGGTAAAGAACATTGAATCAACTAATCAAGTGGTATTACTGGTTAGCTGAAAGCTATCAGACGAGATAACACAGTCCTATGGTAGTACAAACACTCCTTTTTCAGTGCCTGAAACGTTAAGCCATTTCACCTTTGTGTTAGATCTCTCAGAGAGGTGGTGCAGAGGAAAAATGCTAAAATGCATCTGAAAAAGTCACTGCACCTAATAAAAGCTGTAGTGCTGTTTCAGGTTAATAGCTCAGAGAACTGCAGCAACCAGCTTAATATTCACTTCACGACCTGCTAAAAAGCCAGTGAACGCGTAAAAGACCTGACTGAGCATTTTGCATCTTTATGTGAACTAGTGTCAGGTACAAAGCTCAGAAAGGTGCACAGTGCCACCAAAGGCAGGAATTTCCCCACCAGCCATAACAGTAGAGAAAAAAAAGTCATGAGCAACCTTACTGAAAGCATATGCAAAGATAAGTTTTCAACTAAAACCAAACCCTGAGACGCACCCAAATTAAGCAAAGTCTGTGCAAAGCCTGAGGGACAACACTGCTGCCTTAAGAAAATGAAAAAAGTTTTATTAGAAAGATTACTAGCATTAACACTTGGTGGAAGAAATCATCAACCAAACCACAGCCCTGTTCCACTCCATGAGCTCTGCAGGACCCACAGAGTCACAGAGCAGCTGAGGCTAAAAGGCACCTTTGGAGGTGCTCATGTCCAGCCCTCTGGGCTCAGAGTGGGTGTGCTTAGAGCATAAAAATTGCTCAGATAGGTTTCAAGCATCTTGAAGAGTGAAGACTCTACATGCTCTCTAGGCATTCTATTCCAGCGCCCTTACAATGAAAAAGTTGTTCCCCTGGCTCCCCGTTTAAATGGATTGTCCTTTGTTTCAGTTTGTGCCCATTTCTTCATCATCTGCCGCTGGGAATTACTGAGTAGAGTCTGGCTCTGTAGCCTTTATGCCTTCTTATCAAGTATTTTGCATACTGTTAATATCCCCCATATTCTTCTCCAAGCTGAACAATTCCAACAATGACAATTGCCACATGTCAGATGCTCCAGAGTCCAAATCATTTTCATAAAATATCTTGAGTTGGATGAGATTCAAAAGGACCATCGAGTCCAACTCCTGGACATAGTTACAATATGCCCATATCCTTCTACAGAGGAGCCAAAGATCTGGATGAAACTCCCAAGAGGTCTCTTGCTACCGCTGAAAAAGAATCATCATTCCCGGCAACGCTCTTCCTAATGCAGCTAAGGAAGCTGTTGGCCTTTTTAGCTGCAAGGACACATTGGTTCATGGTCAACTTGCTGTCCACCAAATCCCATGTGTCTTTTTCTACCAAGTTGCTTTCTAGCCTGCCCACTCCCAACATATACTAGAGCATGATTTCTCAACTTGACAACTTTGCATCTCCCTTTGTTGAACACCATTAGGTCCATACTGGTCCATTTGTTCTACTTGTCTGAATTCTTCTGAATGGCAACACAGTGATCAAGTCTACCAGAGTTTGTATGAGCTTGTATGTGTCCATTTTGCTTAAGTGTTCTTTTTCCTGATTTTCCTGCACCTAAGGCAAGTTTTCCTTGCTCTAGATTTTCTCATGAGCCACAAAGATCTGGGATTCCAGAAGGCAAGTATTATCAGTAAAAGACTGAAGTGACCATTTGGTCAAGTGGGTCCTTTTTCTTTTAGTCCTTAATCCTCAAAAAGTATCTCCTGTGTAAGTATATTAGCTTGGCAGTATTTGTTTTCCCACCACAAAATAGGGGTGAAAGTTTCTCTTCTTCCTTACACCTACAAGAGAAGTGAAGTGGTATGAAGCACTTGGGCACAGGAGCAGTGGCAGGGTATGGGGCCAACACAATAAATGCTGTTGAACCTGCTAAGATGAAGTCATAGTGCAGTCCAGTAGGAGCCACTGGGTACTTGCAGAAGTTCTGATGCCACTTCCTGGCATGTTGTATCTGTAACACATCTTTCGTTGGAGCACCATCACCAGGATCTGGGCATAATTATTTTGATGAAATACATTCATATATCACCTCCCTGCTGGAGTTTAATTGACATACAGGAACAGAACAGAACATGCAAGAAATCTGTGCTGCAGTAAGTCAAAGATGTATGTGGCCTACTTACAAGCTCAGGTGAAAAATGGGAGAATAATGACACCTATTTTGCAAGGTATTTGACTTATAGGTCCATAACTCAAACTCTTGGCAAATGTGCTCCAAAATGAGTTGGAAATATGAGGAATTTACTGCACACTAAGCATTCTCCCCCTGATGAAAGCAGGGGGGCTTCCTACTCTCTCTTTTTCCCCCCTCCTTCCATTCATCACCAAATGGAGAACAGCCAGAAGCTTCAAAGTACACTGGTAGAAATATGATCCTGACACCCGATTTTACACCTTAATCTACCCCTTATTTCAGCAAAGGCTGATTTCCATTATCAGCCTATCCATCAGTCCAATTCACATGATGGAGGAGGCAAAGAGTGGGGAAAAAACATGATGTCAGGAAAAGTCTCTTTCAGGAGAGGTGACAGGGAGGAGCATTTTTCATGAAGCTGTTTGTAACAGTGGAGCAGGGCCACTGCTGTCTGGGGGCTGAAGTGATACATACTCCTATGATTCATGCTAGACCATAGGATGTGCAGCCCAGCAGCTTTTGCTGCTGCTGCTACTACCAAGCCAAGTGGATTCCAGTATTGCTCAGTGCTCCAGGAATGGTACCCAACCACACTGCCTGGATCTGCAGAAGAGAAAAGTCATGGCAGAGGCAAAAGGAAGATTTCTGTTCCTTGAAATAGCCAAGGAAGTTGATCAGAGAAGTTCTGTGAAGGCATTTAGAGATGGAAGTACCATAAATAGCACTTAGGAAACAAAAACCAATAAAATTAAGGCATGAGGCCACAAGTTATCAGAGTGAAAAGGCAAGTGTGTACAGGCAAGGTGAAGACTTTGTTCTCAATTAGTTACATATTTTGTCTGTACAGAACAGAAGGATTATACAGTTACAGTCTGGACTAGTTTCTAATGCTTATTATCTCTCGCTTTGGAAGAAGAGGCCTTTGTAGTTTGACAGAAGGAAAAGCAGTCTACTAGAAAACAAGTGAGCTGTGACCTGTGATAACGGCAAGGGGAGATCTGTTTACAGGGCAGGATGAAAACACAGGTAATTAGCTTACCAACAGACAGGGACTGCTCTGTCAAAAGGGAACATGATGCACAGAAGGCCTTTATTGATGGACAAACAAGAAACTATATTAAGAAGATCAAATTTAAAGTCAGCTAACAAGAACTTAGTGACAATCTATTATTGTTATTACTTCAAATAACCCCTGCACAAGACCTCATCTGCATTATCCAGATTTTTCCAGTCCATATTATTATTCATCAAGTATTCATGTGGCCCTTAGCAATGAACCCCAGGTTGACTGGGGTATGACTGGGTTAGTGAGCATTCTGTTCGGACTCACTGCAGATGAGATGTGGCCTTACATTTCCAAATGGCATACGGTGCTATTTCAAGTCAATTCTATAGGAAAGTCACAAATGCAGTCCTGTGATCTTAAAAAGAGCTTTTATCTAGAAAAGAAGTGTGAATGAAGGTCAAATGGTAGGTCAGGATGTAGAAGATAGGGACTGTCACTTCCAATTCACTGACATCCTGTGTGACTAAGTAAAGCATGATCTCTGCATGCATTCATTTCAAAAGCTGAAATAATGGCAAAAGTTACTTACTTCAAAAGGCTGCTGTCAAGCCTAATAAAAAAATTGTTTAGAGAACAGTATCAAGTTTTGGGGCAGAATACATCAGAGAAATGCAAAGTGTTATTTATAATTTCAGGGGAAAGGTAAAACATCAAGGATGCAAACTCAAGCAGTTGAAAGCTGGGAAATGCTGAAATTAAGGTCAACAGTGAAATCTTATGTTGTCTTCCTACATATGCATTACATCGTACGTTGTAATTATGACATGCCATTTCAGGAGAATATATGGCAGCTGCAGAGCAAATGCTCTCCACCAGCATATACCAAAAGATTTACAATGAAGGCAGACTCTCTTGTGAGTTGAGTGGAGTTGGCCGAAAGCCTGGATAGCCCTTTACCCCAAAGTTTCTTGTTGACAAAAAAATAAGTATTTAAGGGTGTGCAGTAGAAAACACTGGAAGTATCCTGATGTATCTGACACCAATGGAAAGCAACACAAAATATGGTAGTAGTATTGAATAACAAATCCCACCAGTTGTCATCTACTTTTTTTTTTTTTTTAAATAGAATTTAACTAAATCATTCTGGTGTTTCTTTTCTCTTTTTCTTTCCTCTTCTTCCCTCTCCCCATCTGTGGGGTCTCATACTGCTGCTTCTCCATTTCTCTCTCCTTTTGTTCCTCTCCTTCCATCCCTTCTGATTGTCCTTTCTCTGTTTCATACATTTCAGTTCTTCCTCAAAAACCCCTTAATCTTACTATCATCTTACTGCCAGCTTTGACAGAGCACCAGTTATGCCCTTGTCTTCCCCAGCCCTATACTTTTAGATAAAAAAAAAAAAAAGCAACTTCCCTGCCAAGAATGGCAGAAACACATGAGAAACAGGTTGACTGCAAACTTTTTGGAATTTTTGTTGGAATTGAGGAGCCATCCAGTTCAAGAGAGAAAACACAACAGGTATAGAGGGAGGTTTTGCAGGCCAGATGGCTGGGCAGCAGCCCATGCTAACTGAAAGGAGGCTGCCCCACAGATCTGCCTCTTTGCCCTCTGTGGAATTTCCATATGGACTCACCAAGGAGAAAGTTGGGTTCTTAGAGAAGAAATACAATTCCAAGTTGAGCGTGTAGGGAGTAAAGTAGATAAGAAATATTGAAGGGAAACTAAATTTCAGACAGAGATAAGAGTTAATGGTAAGTTCCACACAGCAAGGCAAATTTTCTTCGTGTCAGTTAAGGTTGGAATAGATATATTAGGTTTCACTGGAGTTACAACACTGTACATGACACTAGAACTGTCCTATGGTGTTTTAAATATTATTTCCACCCACTCCCCACACAGCATGAAAGTGCCTAAAGGACAGAAGTCACAATTGCACAACCCAAATAACAGAATTCAAAGTGTACTAATGATTCAAGCTGTTGCATTTGGCATTTTGAAAGGGCAGTGCTAGGATCTGAGATTATGAGAACAAAGACAGATTTAAACAAATCAAATTCTCAGAAATATTCCCATATAACTCACTAACTTGAATTACAGTGCTTCTAGAAGTGACATTTAGCTAACTGTAGCATTTGGAGCAAAAGGACGTGGCTTCCAAAGACAACTTTTTCTTTGGCTTCCTGAAATGATGTGCATTCCAAGGATTGAGAGATAGAGCCCAATATGATAAATGAAGTGTAAGTCTCAATTAAAAACACCAGGTTTCCACAGACAGACATTTCTTCTTTGGTGCATTGGAGAGTATTGACAATTTGCAGGCTGAGTAATCAGACTGACTCAGGCAAAACATTAACTACCTTGGGCCACCCACATAATTATCCAGAATAACAACTGTAGTTTAGATTCATAGTCCGTCTTACCTGAACTTACTCAAGGCATAAAAGTCACTGGAGAGCACTACAAAGCACATTTATACTTCCAGACTCATATGCCCTTCAGCCTTACCCGCTGCAAAACTCTTCTCTTTTACTCAAAGCATTAGTAAAATTTCTGTCAATTGTACCATATTACCTGGCTGTTCTATAATAGAATTATCTTTGAGAAGCCAGCACAAATTGAAATTAGTACATTTAACTCATTCAGAATCTTGACTGACTCAGATTCCCCTGGAGCATTACTGAAATAACCTGTGTAAGACATCCTTCAATCATTGCTTAAAAGTACCTGCACTTTTATGACTAGAGACAATCCAATCACCCTATACATAAATGATGTAAATAGCTTGAGACATCCTGATGTGAAAAGATGTACTGTCTCTGTCCCTCAATACATGGAGAGAGACTTGAACCCAAGCCTCCTTTCCCACAGGGAGGAAACTGAGATACAGCTCAACAAAGACTTTCCCGGATCTCAGCAGGTCCATAAAAAACAATCTTGCTTCTTGAAATGTTCCTTTCTCAGTATTCCTGCCTCTCCACAAAGAAGTTTGAGGTTGACTAGCCCAAAGCCTACTTGACTGAGAAAACTTCATCTTTCTTTTACTCAACCATGCAAGTGGTAGCAGTGCAAACTCACTGGTACCCTGTCTGAGGAATGCCCTCCTCATTTCGGTGCAAAACTCTCCTTGGGTGGCAGATACAGGATTGCCTTCCAATCATTGGTACGACTCTCTTAGGGCTTAGTATTCTGAGTATCTTCTGACTTGACTCTAAGGGAAGTGGATGCAATATCATGCCCCATACTCTGTGGGTCATAATATTTTAGAAGGCCTGAGGTTCATTTGGCTATCTCCATGCTCTGGACTGAGCTTTCCAAATCATCAGTCAATTGAGTGTAAGTAGATGCATGTTCCCAGGGGTGCACATTTTCAGTTCTTAGGTACTTTGCTAAGAATATCTCCTGGTTAACCTTATCCCCAACTGCAGTGAGTCAGTGACATATTACTTAACCTTCCTTGAGTATTTCAAAGGCAGCCTCAGAGATTTCTCTCTACCTCATACAGATTTTCACCTTGCTTCGATTGTTAATCCTGTTGTAGCCACTGTGAGAGATTCAGAAACGTGACTGATATTTTCCAGGATTCTCTAGTGGCAGAACAGTGGCTATAATTAATCATAATTTGTTTTTCTTCTTTCTCCCCCTCACTTAGCATGCAAGCAACAAATCTGATTATAAGTGGGTGACCCTCCAGACAGCTGTCTTTGCAGAGGTTAAAAAGGAAAACCAACTTCAAATGCAGCAGGACATGGGCAGATAAAGTTCCAGGTAAAAATAAATAAATAAATAAGATCATAGTGTTCATGATTTCGCCAAC